AAAAAAAAAAAAAAAAAAAAAAGGAATTTTTACTTTTGTCGCCATTACATTTTTTCATTAAATCATTAAATAATTATAATTATATATAAATTATAAATGACAATGACATTTCAGATATCTCTTGTTTGAAGAATTCGTTATAAATCATATAAATATTAAGGGCATTTTTGAACGGCTCTCCGCTGTTGTAATGTGATCATAAAAAAACAAAGCAAAAAAAGAAAAAGAAAAACAAAGCTTGCTATGTAATAGGTACTCACTTGGCTCGGCTACAGCAACTCGGCCTTCAATCCGATCATCTACAGCATCTTTAACACAGAATTCCGAGAAGCGTTCAAGAGAATTCTCACAAAGGGTGCACGCGCCCGTGGAAATCAACCGTCGACTAGCGAATGCGGAGAATTTCGATCCGTGGTCGTACAAAAACGAAACGGGTCCATGATCGAATGTAATATCAGTCCAAGATCAAGCGCGGACAGTTGTCAAGTTGGTATAATGGCGCAAAGACATCGCGATACTATCGTGAGTGCGATATAATTCGATTCGAGTCTCTCTTCCTCGGACTTATCGATCTTCCTATCGAACGGTAATTGCGATCCTATGGTAATTATGGTTCACGGTTTTCCATCACGATTTATCGATTCTATATAAATCATTTTATTAATAAGACGTAAATAAAATCGTGATGGAAATATTACCTCCTTCCTGTCGCCAGTTTTCTGCGTGGCATTCAACATTCTTGGTACGAATTAATCGATCGAATCGAAGAATGTTACACGAACATATCCATAGTATAATTTTTCAAGTCTGCTTATGATAATGGTTACGATATGATTGAACGAGATTTACATACGAACATTTAAAACAGCAATTGCGACCGTCATAATCAACTTCAACGACAAACTTTACCATTTCATCATCTTGGGAACGTATTGTAACGTAAAGTTTATAAATATTTCTTGAGATATTGAATTCGTTATTGAAAACCTTTTGCCGAGTAAATATTCCATACATTTCTCGTATTAACTGCAACGAGCATCGCAACCAAAGTTAAATCGCATATTTTTTATATATAGAGTATCTTGAAATAATATAAATTTTACCATCGTGATCAATATCATTGGTAATAATATGCCATCACCGTGTAATAATATGCTGCTTTTCTCTCTCTTATTCCCTTTCGTCTTAAATAACAAAATTATATGTGAATTCTTTTGCCGAATATTTTTTTTTTTATCCACGGACGATGAAAAGGGAAGAAAACTTGTCGATAATAAATAACGGACGGTTAAGAAATCAATTTACGAAAAGACAATCATCGGGAAGTGGTTCGAAACATATCCATGAGACATAATCTGTTCTTATAACAAAAAAGAATAAAGTGAATTTATCTAACAGGATCGAACAGGAGGATATCAATTTAAAAATAAGAAGAAAGAACAAAATAAGATAAATAAATAAAAATTCGTGCGTAGAGAAATTCTACTATAGAGTTTAGATAACATTTCTCATAAAGCAATTGTAATTATAAAATCATGTTAATAGCGCATCTACGATATAAAACTGGATGTTACATGAAGTATTAATAGTAACGTCTATCGAATCGTAGCTTATATTAGTATTAGAATCGCGGTGAAATCCGCACAGATTCATTTTCCATCTTGTAAATAGTCATTTATTTATTTTTCTATTTGACGGGACACAAACACGCGATCTCCACGTATCTTTGCATTGTAAGCGATATTTCGTTTAGGTGTTAACGTGTCGCAAAGTTGTTATGCAACCCGTCGAATCTAACTCAAATCTGCGCCACTTATCTAAACGAAAGAAATTCTCGCGATATGCAACCGACATTCATTGAATCTCTTCCATCATCTACATCAGCGATTTGCTAAGTGTAGTACGTTCCGATGAGGGAGAAACGATAAAATAAAAACATAGATTCTATGTTTTTCCTGTCGGAATGATACGTGCACGAAATCGATGTATACTAATGATATATTTGAATGACCGTTCTCTGTAAATATATAAACGTAAGACATCCATGCGAATATTAAATTTGCACTGTTTTATTACATCCTTATTATCCTATACCAGCATATATATATATATATATATATCTATTTAATATTAATGATTCAAATAATTAATGTTTTCTTAATTTTTTATTTTCTTAAAAAATAATATATTCTGACACAAAACATGTCTTGTTTCATTCGAGTCATTTGTTAAATGAAGTGGTTTTGTATCTTCCCAATTACGATTTTTTATCGAAACTTGAAGAAAATCGAGAAGATTGGAAGATAATTTTGGTATAATGGGATATAATACTAAAGCTGCCACTCGTAAATTTTCCAAAACTAATGATATCAGAGCTTCAAGCTGTTTTACAGAATCAAGATCTTTAGATTTGCTTAAATTCCATGGTTGATGATATTCAAATACTTGATTAGCAGTGCGTAAGGTATCCATCACACTATCTACTGCATGATATAAATCATTTTTCTCATAACATTTTCTAGCTTTTTCACTTAAATTTTCCAAAGCTTTTATATTTTTAAGAGCTATTTCAGAGTTTAAAATATTTTTGTATTCAGTTGAATTATATATTATTCTATCTGGATTAATACTTTTACCAAAACAACGATTAACTAAATTACCTAATGTATCAGCAAGTTCAGAATTTAATATTTTTTGAACTTTTAATTTATTATAATCTAAGCAAAGAAGAAATAAAATATTAATTTTTACAATGAAAAATGTTTAGAATATATTATATATTTTTTGCCTTACTTGCATCTGTCTCCAATACTGCTTGTCGTAAAAGAAAATATCTCAGGCCGTCTTGTGTAAAATCATTCATCGCGATAAAAGGTGAAATTACATTTCCTTTAGATTTTGACATTTTTTTATCTTTAACAGCCCAATGACCATGACATATAAGTTTTTTTGGTGGTTCCAAGCCAGCAGCCATTAAAAATGCTGGCCAATATATACCATGAAATTTTAGAATATCTTTTCCTATAATCTAATATAAATATTCTTAGATTTGTATAATGATTTCTTTAATCTTGAGTTTTATTCTATATTATATTTATATTAGATTAAAGATATTCACTTGTATAGTTGGTGGCCAAAATTCTTTAAATGAATTATTTGGATATCCTACTGAAGTTAAATAATTTACTAATGCATCTAGCCATACATATATTGTATGAGATTCATCGGAAGGAGTAGGAATTGCCCAAGGCACTCTACCGATAGGTCTAGAAATACTTAAATCTTGTAATTCTTCTAACCATGAAATCAACGTTTTGCGATATATCGCCGGTTCTATTACATTTTCTGAATATAAATATTAAAATTATAATTTCTATTAATTAAAAAAAATTAATTAAATTGAATTATATTATAATATATATTATATAATAATATTTTATATATATATATATATATAATATACATATTATATAATATATCTACCATTTTTCAACCAATATTTTAATTCATCTTTAAAAAAAGTAAGACGAAATTTATAACTATCTTCCTCCATCCATTCTACTATATCTCCTGATTCAGTATATCCTTCATTAATATTTGTAAGATTTTTTTGTATTATTTCTTTATTCGAGATAAATGCTTCCTCTGATATATTATACCAGCCTGAATATTTTCCTTGATAAATGTGTCCATTCTTTTCTAAACAGTTCTATAAAATTATAACTTTATGTGTTAATATGTTTAAACTTATTAAATTTAAAATTAATACTTTATAAATTTAATAACCCAAAAGTGAAGAACTGCATTTCGATGTTGTTCTTCAGTTGTTCTAATAAATTTTGAATATTTAACTTGAAATATATTACACATTTCTTGAAATTGATGTGAAATTTGAGTGCAATATTCAGAAGTAGATAAAGTTGTATTGTTTGCAGCTTTCTGAACTTTTGTTCCATGTTCATCTGTACCAGTGCTTAAAAATACAGAATGTCCTAACATAGCATTGAACCTAGCTATAGTATCTGCCAAAACTGCTGTATAAAGATGTCCAATATGTGGTCCTAAAAGAAAAATTAAATCATTGTTATAATTTCTCATAATAAATAAATTCTCTTATTACAAAAAAAATTTCCATGTATATTACCAGCATTAACGTAAAATATAGGTGTAGTAATATATATATTTTTAACTGCATTATCACTAAAATTTCTTTTTTTAATATAAGACCATGATGGTTTTGTTCTCGTTATTAAAAATGGAAATAAAGACTGAATATGACAAGACTTTGAGAGATGGACTGTAATTAGAATTAAAATTAATATCAGAATTATTTAAAAAATATACATATATATATATACATAAATAAAATATAAAAACACTTAAAAATTGAATATTATTGTAATATTATAATAATAACTCAATATAAATTTTTTACTTTGTCATTTATTTTGAAAACACTATGTACAAATTCAATATATCTATTTAATATCCAATAAAATATAATTATAATAAATTTTATATGAAAACAATTATTTTAATTCTAATTGTATTGATTCTAACTGTGTTATTAGATTCATATACTTAAATTCATCAGGTTTATTAGTGAAAGTTTCTAAAAGTTGTAATCTTTTAATATTATCTGTACAATAATATAATTGTAATTCATTTACTAAACATTGTGCTTCTTGCACAGAAATACATTTTTTATCAAATTCACCCCGCATAAGAATAATTCCTTTATTATCTTTAAATTCTATATAATGAATCATAGTTAAACATTCTGGTGCATTTTCTTTATGTGTTTGATACAATATAAGTGGTGTCATATGAATTTCTAATCCATAAAATTGACTAACTATAAACTCATATCCTTGTTTTCTAGGTAATGGCAATAAAAATGTTGAATAGCGCTTTCCACGCTCAAACATTTTATCAAATTGCTCTGATGTTAATATTCCACATATGTAATCTTTATCTTTATGGTAATCTTTCCAAATTTTTATAATCTCATCTTTTCTCATATTCTGAATCATATCCATTTTCATTATACTATTTAATTTTGCTTGTTGAGGTTGTTTGGTTTGATTCAAGTGTGGTTTTGCTTCACTTTGATAAAATTTATATTCTTCTTCCTGTTTTTCTTTAATTTAATAATATATATATATACACATCAAAAAATATAATAACTATAATAAAATACATCAAAAAATCAAAATAATATATAACAATTATGGTTAATTATCATGACTAAAAACTGAAGTTTGACTAAAGTAATATTTAAAATAACATTTAATTATGACATATAATATTTTAAATAATAATAAATGTATATTATACAATCAAATAAGTAAATTGATTTTTATTTAATATTGTATAATAGAGACTATAATAATAGATTGTACCTTTTTTTTTTTGTAATTTCTCTTGATTTTTAACACGTTGTAAGAATTCTTCTGGACTAGTTTGTTGTAACTTGGCTATTTTATTAGCATATTTCTCAAAAAAAGGATTTTTCTCGAGATTTTCCAAAACTTTTTCAAACTTTATACGAGTTGTCATAATGGATCTCTTATTGTAATTATTTGTACCAATAAAAATTTTTTTCACAAATACTAATATTGGCAATCGTATTGTGTTTTGAGAAATAATTGCCATCGATCATTCAATAATTAATTAATAAATTTAATAATATAAACGTGAAAAAAGTTTTTATTACGTCTTTATTTAACTATGTATAACTTAGATGTCGCTTTACAAAATTTAAAGTATTTTACACTGGATAATATCTACAAAATTATAAATCAAAAAATATTTATTATATTTCCTAATCAAAATTTTTTTCTATTTAAAATAAACTATAAATAAGAAATATAAAAAACATTTCGTTTCTAATAAGTAGCACAAGGTTCCGGTAAAATCAGTAGTGTATCTATAATCACATATACATCTTAAAAGAAGTAATGGTACTTTTGACCTATATTAATTTAAAATGAAAATTATATAGATATTGCTTATAATATTGTAGATATTTTTTACAGATTTAAAAATTTTCAAATCTATGATATTATTATTAATGATATGATTGTTTTATAAAAAAATTATTTAAAAATGTAATTTTATACTTTTAATAATAAATATAATAAAAATATACTAATATCAAATAAAGAAAATAAAATCTTTTTAAATTATTTGATCAATTTTTTTAATCTGTGCTAATTTTTCATATCAATTATAAAAATATGAAAAAAATGAAATAAAATATAAAAATATGAAAAAAAGTATAAAAACATAGAAAGAAAATTTTCGAAAAATTTTTTGAAATTATTGTTTATTGTTTATTTTCATTTAATCTTTAAATTATTAATTTTTCTATTGAATATTAAATAATTATTATGTAAAAAAACTAAACCAAATAGAATAACATTTTAATAACACATGTTTCGATTTGATCAAACGTCACTGTGAGAAAGATTCATTCGAAGAATTGTAGTAATATTGATACGGTCCTGAAGAAAATCTAGTACCGCGAATTCAAGCGAGTCATTTCGTACAATTAAATTTTGAGGCAGTGCTAAACTCACATCTTAGTCAAACGAAATTTTTCTTGTTATTAAAATAAAAGGTTTGCGGATGGTTTGGTTAAAAAGATAATATAGTTAATTAATAGCAATTCGTTGATAAGGACTCTGACTTGAACGCCGCCCGCCGTGACGCATCGTTTCCGCAACGTCAGTTGCTCTCGTGCTTCTAGCGAAAGGGAAAATGTCGGCGTATTAGTGGGGCTTTGTTGTGCCACTAGAGAGTGAATTTTCGTCCGAATAGAATTTTTATCGAAGAAAATCTTTCATCGATACGGTTTTAAGAAGACTCAATATTGTCCAGTTTGCCAGTAAATGGCGTATAAGTTCTATCGGGTACGCTTAGTACTTTAAATCAGATTTGATTCCGACGTGAGCCAGTCGCAGAGTCCGCCGTCGGTTCTAGCGGAGGAAGGACAGAAATAGGGAAGCCAAGAGCAATATGTCGACGATACAATTAGCGATGTCAGTAGCAAAGAATGAGTTTATCGTAGGTGGCAAATACAGGCTGTTGAGGAAGATAGGCTCGGGATCCTTTGGCGACATTTACCTCGGTATCAACATCTCTAATGGTGAGGTAAGGAGTACCGTTTCACGTGAGACGATCTGCCAACACATCTTCCCTCTTGTCTTTCTTAATTTCTTTTTATTTTTTCATTGTCTTTATAATGAGTTATTTATCTCATTTTTATCATGAATAAATTTTTCTTATTATGTCACTACTAAACTTCTTACGAAATATGTTTTTTATGATAGTGTTATTGGTTACGTGAAATACTTATTGTTCTTTCTTGAAGGATTGGCAAGTTGTAAATTTTTTATTTCAGTAAAGTTATATATACTCGACCGATTTACCTGGGCTATTTTCAAAAATTTTATGAGTACATTTGTTTAACTGCAAACTCATCTAACTTTTTACAATGTGATTAACCTCTATATATAAAAAAGAATACTGATGTATGTATTGTTTACGTGTGTCAATTATAAGTAGTATTTGTAACTAAAATACGTATATGTTTATTATAAAGTAGTTGTAGCAAATAGTTATTTACAAATTGTTTTTATATATTTAAAATTCTTTTTTGTTGCACATAAATTTCACATTTAAAAATTTTTATTAAATTTATGGAATGTATTTTTATCCTTATATGAATTATTTTCAGTAAAATATAGCTCTTCAAGATGTTAAATTTTTTATTTTACATAAGAATTTTTGTTTTTATATTTTATGCTTATGAATATTATACAATTAATTTATATACAAATAATTTTATTTATAACATGTATTATCAATTTTTATGTCAATTCAAAAATAAACTAACATATAGTTAATATATATAGGCAAATTATATATAAATTTTAATATATAATATTTGAGTAATATAATAAAAATATTATAGAATAAAATTGTGTATAATTTTTTATGTATATTGTATTTATTTATTCAATAAATATTAAACAGAAGTAATCATATCTATATTTAAATATTTGTTTCCTCAATTTTAAAACCTATATTCTATAATTATATTAATTAAATTGATAATTATAAAAAAAATAAAATTAAACATCTAAAATTTATATATAAATATTTTATGCAATGATAACAGTATATTGCATTATGTTGGGCATTATTTTAGGAAGTTGCTGTTAAATTAGAAAGTGTACGTGCTCGACATCCACAACTTCTATATGAGTCAAAACTATATAGAATTTTACATGGTGGTGTAGGAATACCTCATATACGTTGGTAATTATTTTTAATAGCTTTTCTTGATTAGTATTATTTTTAATGTTATTTAATATACAGCTAATTTATAAAATTGATAACAAAGATTTTCTTAAAATTTTAGAAATACAATTTCATAAAAAATTATTTCTTTACATTATATATAGGTATGGACAGGAACGAGAATATAATGTACTTGTCATGGATCTTCTTGGTCCATCTCTTGAAGATCTTTTTACTTTTTGTACAAGAAGATTCACAATTAAAACAGTCTTAATGTTGGCAGATCAAATGATTGGTAGGATTGAATATGTTCATTGCAAACATTTTATTCATAGAGACATCAAACCAGATAATTTTTTAATGGGTATTGGTCGTCACTGTAATAAGGTAATTAATTAAATATTATTTCTTTTTTTATATTTTTATATTAATTTTTCTTGAAATATTAATTATTTTTAAATTTTTAGCTCTTTCTTATCGATTTTGGATTAGCTAAAAAATATAGAGATAGCCGTACAAGAATGCACATAATGTATCGAGAAGATAAAAATTTAACAGGTACAGCAAGGTATGCTTCAATTAATGCACATCTTGGAATAGAACAGAGCCGTCGGGATGACATGGAATCACTTGGTTATGTGCTTATGTATTTCAATCGAGGATCTTTACCTTGGCAAGGACTTAAAGCTGCTACTAAAAAGCAAAAATATGAAAAAATAAGCGAAAAAAAGATGTCTACTCCAGTTGAAGTTTTGTGTAAAGTAAGTTTTATGTTATAAATATAAAATTATAATATGTTATACTATAATGTATTAACTACTTTATTTTTTTAATTTTATTTAGGGATTTGCTGCTGAATTCGCAATGTATTTGAATTATACACGAGGTTTACGTTTCGAAGAAAGTCCAGATTATATGTATCTTCGTCAACTTTTCCGTATACTTTTCCGTACATTGAATCATCAATATGATTACACTTTTGATTGGACAATGTTAAAACAGAAAAGTTGTGTTGCTACTGCAATAACTGCAGGTGGTCCAAGTCAATCCGCTCAAAATGCTCAGGGGCAAGGGCAAGCCCAAGGTCAACCACCCGCGCAAACCAACGCTCAACCAGGTGTTCTTTTCTATATTTCAAATCATATTGCATATACATTATTTTTAATATTTTAGTATATATGAAATAAATTGTTTATAATAACAATATATGATGAGCAATTTAGAGATTTAAGATAACTTTTATAATATAATATAATTAAGTACAAGATGCATGTCTATATGAAAATATTTAATTTATTTTGATTATTTAATAATTATATCATTTTTTTTTTCATTTTTGATTCTTTTTTGTAAAACATAATTTATTGTTTGTTTCAGAAAGGATAAAATTATAATTACTTCTCATTGCATCAAACCTATTTGCAGTCACTGATGTGTCCAAGACCAGGTACTCAACTTTGTACGAATGCCATGCAAAGAGTCAAATCAATCAATCCTCTAAGTTAATACTAAAGAGGAGATTTACGATTACAAGCGTATCGTACACAAGTAAAGGACAATGCCACGGGTACATGTTTGTGAATTCACTGATTAGTGAAAACTTCAGTGTATTCTCAGTGCTTAGAGTTTTGGTTGATCCACCTCTTTGGGCTTAAAATCCAAGTGAGATCAGCCAGAGGTGGCTTGTTCTTATTTTGTTATTATCTATTTAATTCACCGTTGATAATAATTGAAAATAAAGGTTTTGATGCCCCGAAGACCTTTGTAAAAGATTACATGTAATGATGTAATGTGTGATTTAATTGAAAATCCGACAAACAATTTTCATAGAAAGAAAGAGAGAAAGAACATTTTGAATATTTTTAAGCATTCGGGGTAATTAATTGAGTACATCATATAAAAAATTTTATAACTATTCTACAAAGAGAGAAAGAAATGTGAAGACGAGTGAATGATCATATGAGAGTATGAAGAAAATATATAAGTAAGTGTACTGAGGGATAAATACAGTTTGTTGCTTCCTGATTTTTCTTTTATTCTCAGTACTATACATAAGTATAATGTATGCATCTTTTGAGAGAAATTTTAATACAATGGACTTTTGAATTTCTTGATACATAATTTATTCCAAAGACAAATTACAAATTAAATTTTCATTCAATATAATTGAATTAATCTGTTTTAGATTTTCAAAATTTACACAATATGAAACATTTAGAGTGCCTATTTCAAAATATCATATTAGTAAATAATAATAAAATAATTTTAATAAGTATATATTTCTATTTATACTAATACATATATAATATTTTATAATAATCAATCAATTAATTTTTATCTGCAATCCACTAGTTGTAATTAATTAATGTTATCTATCACTGCTTAATTTTTCATTAAATATCTATATAATATTATTTTTTTTAAATTTCCAAAATAGTCCATTGCATTTTCATTAAACAGATTGATACTACTATAGCTATATTTTGTTTGAAAGTTTTTGTCGAATTTTTTATTTCAGTTTTTAAGTTGTTCAAATTTCAAAGTATTCAAAAGTCCATTGTATCTTTCTTACATAAATTATCATGTCAACGGTATCAAGGATTTTGCTTTGATACTATTGGTTCTGATAACATTTTCTTTTTACAAGTATATGTATATATATATACTTATACATATATCTTTTTATATAAGTATATATGTATATATATTTATATATATACAGCGTACACATAAATGCGTACATAAAAATAAGTGGAAGTATCTGAAATAAATACTGGAAGTAATATTACTATTAAGGCAGCAATTTAATTTTTAGATACATTGTATCGATCAAGAAACGAACAAATTATTGATGATTCTGACCTAACAAAACTTCACTCCTTACTCTCTTTCTTTCTGTGAGTATATTTAGTCGATTATGATAAATAAAATGAACATTAAACAGACTTTTCTGTATTGGAGATGAATTACAGGTTTGCTTTACATTGAAATGAAAAAAAGATATAAAAATAGTACATAAATTGATGCATGAAAAGCAATTCTGTAACCAGATCCAGCCAAAGGACTTCTTCCGTATAGTTTTAATGGCAGAGACTGTGCGCAGTGGTATTTCCCGTGCTATTGCTTCGATATTAAGTTTAATCACTACGTGACTTATAGAAATCTTTAATCGATTGATCAGTTGGTTGTTAATATGCATAATGATACACAAAGTCACGTTACACGTTGTAGCAGTTTTGAAAGACTCGTTTCTGTCATTGAAAATTTTTGTTTTTTTTTTTTCAATCGTTCTAGTTGCGCCAATATTCACGTCTATGTTCCAAGCACTACTTCCAAAATGATGTATAATCAATGATGTTAACTCATGTTCTTACTATGAAAATATTCTAAAAAAAAAAAAAACAAAAATCGAAAATTAAAAAAAAAAATGAAAAAAGACAAAAAACATCTGGTCAGCTTTAGTATGAACTAAGATACAAGGAATACGACTGGATCTTGTGTACCATTATATTTTGGGAGGACAATTTGTTTAATGAAATTTTTAGACAGTAATTTAAAAAAAAAAGAGATATAATCATAAAATATCTTTGAGTGAATGTATGGTTTATTATTATTATATTATTTTTATTATTAATATTATTGCTATTATTAAAAAATAAGGAAACGAAAAATTAATGAGTAAAAGTGTGTACTACTATGCAGTGAGAATGAATGAATGGGTAAATTAATGAATAATTAATGCTATATGCACTTATTATCTGGTATGTATGTGTGTATATATAGGATGTCCCGCGAGGTATTCAACAGATTTTTCCCACGTGTTCAGCAAATCATTCTGAATAAAAAAATGTCATATACTTTATACTTCTATTTAATTTTGTTATCCAGTTATGTTAAAGAGAACACATTACATGTGTAGTAAAATTATATCTAATTATGGTTTTCTATCTTAAATGTTTATTAAATAGGCAATCTTCAATTTATGCATATAATGTTAATTGTTGTTGTCAATAAACATTACCATCGTATTTTTATCACAATAGAATACTAATAATATAACAACGTAACAAAATAAATAACGAGAATGTTAATCGTTATTAATAACTTGTGTATACACAAGAGTAAATCACATTATACTCAATGTATTTATTGTGCTGCACCAATTTTTCTCATTTTTTTTTATTCAATCATAGAAAAAAATCCAATCCTTTTAAAATCCTATACATATCCTTAATAATATATATCGTAATAGAAAACTGTTATTAGAATGCTATAATTTTTATTTTAATTGCAACAAAATTTCTATGTAAATATAACAAATATAATCTACATTTTACATACTATTAAACATAAGAGAATATTGAATCTTATTCCATCCTAGCATTTATCGTTATACTTAAATCTAAATAATATTTATCTTGGTTATAAAAATAAAAAAGTCTATAATTTTATATATTCTTTTTTTATTCTTAATGACTTATCGAACACGTGAAAAATGTTCATTAAATACCTCACAAGATATTCTGTATATAAATAATGCTTTATATATGTGGTATACATACATACAATGTGTATGTATAATAAAATTATGACAGTAATTAAGACATACGTTATTTCATAAATAATGAAAATCATCAACAGTTTATTGCTCCTTTTATTGCTAAAAAATAAAAAATGGAACATTGTATTATAGTCTCTATTTCATTAAGTGTCAATTTTGATGGCAATACACACTATTATAGTTATTCAGAATGGTAGTAGCGTGTTGTTCAAAATGAACGATATACATTCTTCCTCCCGAAAACTGTGTTGCGATATTCTTAACACATGGGATATGTAAAGGATATTTATGTAAATATTTTTAAATCATATATTTGACGATTCCCGAAAAATATTATACAGAAACCATAGAAACACATAATTTTATCGTTCAAATTGTTAATAATAATAATAATAATAATTGAATTTAAGATAATAAAATACTAGAGACAGACTATCAGCTACAATGCACCGGTCATCGTGCTGTAGTCAATTCATAAATAAATAAAAATCGCACGCTCCAAAATTAACTAAATTTAAATTGTTCCTTTCATCGGATATAATAAATCAATTATTAGTTTTTTGGTACACATAAAATAGATTAATTGTGTGTATGCCTACCATAGCTTATGTGTAAGTGATCAAAAAGCGAACATTACAAATTAATATTTTACAAATATATTGCACTTACCACTATTTTTGTGGTAATGTATTCTGCCACATTAATGTATAGCATTAAGAATTAGCAAATGAAAATTAATAGCATAGCAAAGTATGAATTTTCCTAAGTTCCTGCGTTCCTACATTAACAGTAAAAACTTTTTCTTGACCTTCATGAGGAATTGCAATTTCTGCAGCAAGCAATTGATTTTTTTGCATTGCCGCGGCCATTTCACGATTTGGGAATACTGCAAAATTGGCTTCAGCCATTCCACCTACTGTTCTTTGTATAACTTCTTCAAGAACTTCATTCTAAAAAAAAAATTTTAAATTTAATTTTACTTATTTATAATTACATAAATATATATATAAAAAATATATAATTTTTTAATTAATGACTTACGATCAATTGATCAGCTCGTTCTTTTAATCCTTTCATGACTATCTGCCGTTGTAACAGTTGATAAACTGGCAATGCTTTCTCTAATGGTGGCCCTTCCAAATCATGTGCCTTATTACGCCTTAAATCAGGAACGATAGGGAATGTCATGACTTGTTTAATATTCTAAAAACAAGAAAAATGTTGATTAAAATTAAATAAATGAAAAAGAATATGTTTTGAATATTATTATATATTATTATTATTAAACATAATTATTATTTATATAATAATTATATTTATATAACTTACTTTGCTAAGATCGTTAGTTTTTTGTTTTAATTCTTGTATTTTTGCATCAATTGATTCCTGTTTTAATGGAGAAATTATTGGATCCAAACTTTCTAATTTCTGACGTAATGTATCAGACATTAACTTCTTCCTTTGTTGATTTTCACTATTTAATGCTTCTTTAAGGGCAGTTATCTCTTGCATCAAAAATTTATTATCTATCGATTGAAGTCCAGATGTTGTTGTAATACTTCCAGATATATTATCTGTTCCAGATGCAGACAACATTGTCTTTTTCCCAACAGATTTTAATTTTTCTTTTAATTGGCCTCTTTCAATTTCTAAACTGTCAATATCTGTTTGAAGATGATCCATTGTTTCTTCAAATTCTTTTTCTTTTCGTTTTAATTGATTTAATGCTTCTTCTAATTTTCTTTTTAATTTTTCTACATTCAATTCATGCTCATGTTGTTGAGTTGCAAGTTTTTTCTCCACAACATCTTTTCTCAAAATCATTTCACATAATTCTTCTTGTTTTTCCCTAAGAGCTAATCTTGCTTCAAGTATATCACTATCTCTTGCTTCCAATTTCCTACTAAGTATCTTGATTTCTTCAGCTTCTTTTTTCGCTGCTTGTGCTCTTATTTTAATAGGCTGTACAGATTCATTTTCCGCATTTTGTTCCCGTTGTTGTGATAAATGTCCACTTATTGCTAATTCATTTTCACATTCTGCCATTTTTTGTGCTAAACTAGCAGCTAATTGTTGAATGCTTGACAAACTTCCTTTAATCGTAGCTACAGGTCCTATATCTTCTGTATCATAAACTTTCTCACACGAAATAGAAGCCATTTCTTTCAATTTATCTACACTGAGACCTGTATCTAAGTCACCATTAGTAATAATTGCTTGTACAGCACTTTTCAATAAAATCTGTAAAGTTTTCATCATTTTCACAGCATGTTGATAACATGTAAAAAGTTGTTCGCTACAATCTTTGTCCAATCCCAAGTTAGATTCTGCGATATGAAGTGCAGCAGCATGATCTGTCAATACTCGTCTTCTAGCTGATTTTAAATGTTGTTGAATTACTTCACATGTAGTCTCCGCATGTTGACAAAGAAGTCCTATATCACCGCTATCTCCCTGAATTAAAGTTTTAATTGCTGCAGCATCAGTCGTAATAGCATCACAAGCACTATCCAACATTCTTGTACCATTAACTATCAAACGAGCTTGGTTAATAGTTTCCCCAAATAATACAGAAAACATAGTACAAAAGTATCCACAACATTTTTCGATAGCATCCATTGGTAGATTTTCATCTAATTGATCTTTTTTTGCTAAATCTATCAAAGAATCTAAAGATTTTTCCTGTGCGGCCATTTCTGGATAAACTGCTCCAGTTTTAAGTAACATTTCAGGACTACATACATTTAATGCAGATTCAAAACAACCAAGAAAAGTTTGTAATGCATACATATATGAACAAAGACGCGATCTGAATGTATATTGCGCTACTGAATGACCCTTTAAAACAATTGTTCTATCTACTTTATCCAATGATCTATATTTTTCTCGCACTTGTGACATAAGTATTTCAGTTTTTTGTATCATTCTTGGTATAAGTAGAAGCGTTAAAATAGCATCGTGATCTCCACCTCGTGCTAAAAATGCAGGAGGCATAAAAGATAATAAATATTTTACATGATTTCGAGCTTCTTCAGCTTCTAACCGTCGTAATTCAAGATCAACAGCTTTTGTTTGGGCGCGAGTTTCAGCAAAAGTTTTTTGAAAATCTAAAATTTCTGCTAATTGTTGCTCTGCGCCTCCCATTCCAAATTTAGATGTTTCAGTTGATTGTACGCGTTGTTGCAATTGCAAACACTGTTCCTGTAGTTGATGAGTAAGTTCACGAAACTTTGTAATTGTAAGTTCACGATCTGCTAATGTTTCTAAAGCAGCATCTCGATGTCGATAAGCATCACGTGCTGCTCCAAGCGCTAAATCTAATTCTTCTCGCAATTCTAATTCTAATTCTTTTGATGATTCAGCAAGTTGATCGGACATATCCTGAACAGAAGTATAGTAAAAAAATATAAGTTAATTATTTAAATAAGTTTTAAAAAAAAACATACTTGTAAAGCTTCTAAATCTGCAACTGCCTCTTCCAATTCTGCAACTTTTTCCTCTAACGCCATTTTTTTCTCACCTAGTACTTCAACCATTTCTTCAGCACCTAATGCAGCATCAACCTATTTGAAAGAACAAATTTTATTAATAAAAGATAATCTTTAAAAATTGTTAATGTTTCTTACTTGTTCTTGTAAATCTGCTATCTGATGTTCCATTTCTTCTACTCGGGTAGACAATTTTTCTTTTGTACGACCTAATTCTAATATTTCAGATTTCTTTTGATCTAAATCTTTCTGAAGTTTTTGAAATTCATGTTTTTCGTGTGCAGAAAGATCTCGCATTCTAACAAGAGTTTCTCGCAGTCGATTATTTTGTTGTTCCAATTGTTTTATTTCATAATTTGAAACACCAGCAGTTGAACCTCCTCCTGCGGTCTATAATAATTATATAATTATTTATATATTAATAATCATAATAGAGTAAACTATAAAATACTTTACTCTTTCAGACACTTCTGTTCGTAATATTTCTAAATCTAATGTTTGTTCTTCCAATTTTTCTTTCAATTGTTCTAATTCAATTTGTAATGTTTCAGCCTTTTCTTCGGCCATCTCTTTATCTAATGTTGCCATTTCTACAGTTTCTGCAAGATCTGCCATTTCTTCTTGAAATTGTTCTCTCGCTGCATGTGCTTCTCTTGCTTCTTGGCGTGCGCGTTGTAATTCTCTTTGAAGACTAGCCTTTTATCATAGAAAAAAATATAAAAATATTAAAATTAATGAAATTCATAATATCTAATTAATTTAATTTAAAATTTGTCATTACTTGGCTCTCCATAACTTTTGTTTTGAATTCAATAAGTTGATCAACTTGAAGTTTTGTTTTTTCAAAATCTTTTATTCGTTCTTTATCTTGCATTCTCTTTACTCGTAAGGTTTCTATTTTTTCAGTTAAATCGCGAACCTATAAAATATACATAAAATACATTTTATATACATAATAATTAAATTTTATTGATATATCATATCGATATATAAAATTATCTAAAATTTTAGCAATTAAAAAAAAAGTTTTTGAATTTATTTATGGATCAGTTATGGACCAGTTATGGACCAAAAGCAAATTAATAATAGTTTACCTGAGATTTCAGATTTTCATTTTCTTGTTGAAGTTGTAAATGTGATAATTTTTCTTCTACTACATTTGCAGCTGCTGCAGAGCCTGCCATTACTTGACCAGGTACAAACTGCGGTTTCAAAGTCTCTACAAAACCTGTCTAAATTGCAAATAATTTATAAATGAAATTATAATTCAATATTGGATGTTTTTTTTTATTATCACATTGAAAACATATATATTTTGTTGCTTTAACTTCAATATGATGTATACTAAAATATCTTCTTTCAATTGAATTCTTCATGAATTATGTTATAATGATTAGAAATATAATTTTCTATCAATGGTAATGAAAAAAAAACATCCTGTATTTCCTATATAAAACATTATTTTTCAAAAGAATATTGTTTTTGTATGTACATTCATAGAATTAGTCTATATCAAAGTGATTAATGAGATTAATTATGACAAAAGACATCAACAAGCTACATCAAATTTTCTATTAGTTCTAAAAAGTGTAGGAAATTCAGTCAATGAGTTGAATTGTGTTATATGACACAGTAGGCATAATATTAACTAAGTCATCTATCATATCTTAACCATTCATAAATATTAATTGCGTTTATATCAGGGATTTATGATTCTTATTGATAAATAATAATTAAATAAACAGAAAGAAAAAAGATGTTCCAAGTATGGATCACAAGTTTATACCATAATACTGTTAAATGCTTATTTATAGAAAGGCTATTATTAAATCACCTTATCAATTTAATTCTAAAGGGAATTCAGTATCTAATTATTAAAAAGAAAGAGAATAATTATATATTTGAATCTTTTCCATCAAGAAATTTGAAAGTATCAAAGCATTATAAAACTGAATTAACAAAGCAGATTCTTAATGGAATAGTGAAAATGGTAAAAGATAATCAGTTATCATAATTCAATAAGAAGAAGTAAACCAATTAAAGTGCAGCGATGCTAATTGTTACAAAATCATGTGTTACAATGGTTATGATTAACAAACAACTAATATGAAAAGGTTTAAGGTCAGATGAGAAAATTTAGATATTACAATTAATGAGTATTAATTACATTATTGTGATCATCTTGGGCCTTTGGCTTTTTGCCGGGAGGCGAGCTCGTGCTAGGGGACTTCTGAAACACGTACGTGCATTCCCATATGAATCATTCTGTGCCAACGGAATTATTTAACATTTAAAATTCACTATTCTGCCTTGTTAGTTCCTTTAGCATTTTAAAAATTTCTCTGTAGTTTTTAAATTAATATTAAGTCACAGAGTTCTTTGAATATGATAGTAACAGACATATAAGTTACTTCAAATAGTTCAAAGATTCAAAAGATAGCAACCAATTTATTAATTTATCACATTTAGATGAATCTTTATATATTATGGAATCATGTATTCATGCCTTTCTGAATCCTCAGAATAATTCATTCACTGTGTTTACATAAATAACTGATATATCAACATATTAAAATTTATTATATAAAAATAATACAAGCATGTTTAAAACAAAAAACAATACCTCAACAAATGAAGCTCCTTTAGTGGATGTTGGGGCTGGTATTAATGATTCTCCTCCATCTTTACGTTCATGATGTGATCCAGATAAACTTTCTGTACTTGGAGCACTTAAAAGTGTTCTACTACCAGCCAATGATAGTCTTGAACTATAAAAAATAGTTTTAAATTTAATTAATTTTTTAATTAAATTATAATTTTAAACATGAAAAAAATATTGATAAATAACAACATAATGTAAATATATAACTAAATATTTGTAAACTAAATACAAATTAAATACAAATATATTGAGATGTTAAATAAAATTTAAATAATAATATAATAATAAAGTTATTAAAGTAATAATAAAGTAAAATTTTACTATAATAAAATAAAAATAATAAAAAATGAATAAGAATTATAATTTTTCACTTATATGTATATAAAGTTATTTAAGAAAAATATTAAGACAAAGATTTTAATGATTAATTTTCAAAGTCTTACCCAGAGAGCTTGTCTGATTGTTGTCTTGTATGAGCAGGAGATGTTTTTCTCCGTACTCTTTTATGACCAGCATTTATGAATTTTAAGAATTTATTAATTATATTTATCATAATCTATCTTAGTTTTTTTACTTTTTCTCATATAAAAAAATTACATAATAAAATCTAGTAATTTATTTTACAATTAAAAATTCTGATAAAATATTTAATATAATAACTTACGCAGTTGGTTCATTTCTTCTACGTGTACTAATGCTAGCATGAAATATATAATAATATAACTTAATGAACAAATATATATAGATAATGTATATCTAATACAATTTTAAAAACTTAAAAATTAAAATACCTATTCAATCGACTTCTAGCACGTGCTGCACTAGTTTCATCTGGTGTAGTAGCATTGCTACCTGCTGAAGAAGGACTAGCAGGTTCAGTTCTATTACCTGCTTCATCCAGTAAAATAAGTTGCGACTGTCGTACAAACATTCCATGATTTTCAGCACACTAATATAATAAAATGTAAAATATAATTATGTATTGTATTTTATAGATATAAAAATATAAAATTATATAGTAAAAATATAAAACCTACTTTAAAATAAGATTGACCTTTGATAGTTCCATTGTTTTTTCCTTTTGGTTCATCAAGTATGACTCCAATCCACTTTCCTGGAGCAAAACTCGAATGTCCAATATAAGCTATTACTCCTTGACAATCTTTGCCAGGAACTTCGACACGCTGTCCAATTTTATACGACATTTCAGCCGTGACAAATAATTACACTAAGTTTTCTACAGTTCATTTATTTTAACAAGATTTTTTTATTTTTTATTAAATAATATACTCTTTATAAATAATTCAGGCAATACAAACTTAATCGCACTGATAATTAAAATTACAATATTAACTATAAAATTTATCGAATATTTATATCAGCTTCTGCTAGATTCTTCATACCATTTCCATTATATATGTTACTAATTAAAAGATTAAATTTTCACAAGTTAAACAATTTTTATTATATTTTTAAGATTTATTATTTTATTAAAATCTAGAATATTAAAGTTTTATAATATAGCAGTTTAAAATGTTATCATTGATTCTCACTTGATTTATTCTATTATTACTATTCAAATACCACTACACTAATTCTACTAATTCTTATTACTATATAGGTAAATTTATTTTTAATATAAAATGTATATATTTTTTACTATTTTATTTATATTTTTAATTAAAATAACATATTTAGTTTATTTTGATAAAAATTTTCAATATCCGAAAATCCAAAATAAGAACATTATTTATATATCAAAGAATATCAGAACAATATCAAAATATATATAATAAATAAGTATAATATATAAATTATTATATTATTTATATATTATTAATATGTCATATAATATTTTATTATTATAAACATTATAATTTTATTATTATAAACAAAATAAAATATATATAATTAACTATTATAATTAACATTATATTAATATTAATAATGTAAATCTACGAATATTAACATTTTTTAAAAATTTTCTTTAAAGAGTATATCTTATATATTTATTTAATTATGCTCCTAAAAAATATATATAAATAAATATCAAATATAGAGAAAATACA